GTTGAAAGTATCCATACTTCCGAGTGTAAGTTGTGTGCTTGTACACTATGTTCCTTCATAGACCTTCAGTTATTGAATGGGCCTTAGACTGGAGCCACAGTAACGCAAGATTTATTCCACTCAATTAAGAAGACTTTTCAACTCTGTTCCTTCTGATAACCATTCCCAAAATTAGGTGGTGAAACTAATGAAATAGGATCAGAAGCACCTGTGTAAATGCAAAGGATAGCACAGTCTTTCATTTTCTTTTTTATTGTTGTTGTTGTTATAGTTCATTGATATATTGGGTGCTTCCCATCATCAAATGGAAAGTGCCTTGTGTGGAAATATGACTGAAACCTTAGATATAATCCTTCTCAGTGTTAGCTTTTTGGAAAGAAGAAGATAGTTTATCAAAAATACAGATGGATTCAGGCAACAATAGGTGGCACAATTTTCCAGGAGCTGCTGCTACTGTGCATTCTAAGCAAATTTCATTTAGGGGAGTAACATTTAGGGGAATAGCAGTCATGCCCAGCTAAAGTGAATTTTTAATTAAATTATATAAGGAAAAAACTTTGACTTGAAAATTAAAGTTTGTTTTTTTTCAAAAAAAAAATAATCCTGTGTTAATCCATTGAAATTATAATTATGAATAACTTTTAGTCTTGTCCTGCTCTTATAATATAATTTTTGAGGTATCCTAATCTCTCTCATCCTCCACATGTACAATGCAGTGGTCAGATCAGGAGCAAAAATGATTCTGAATCATTTCACAGTTTGCTTGTAGTCTTAATGGATGATCTCAGGCAAGCTTAGCTTATAGAGAAGCACTGCTATAATGCTTGGTATATAGTACTAAGTGTATCATTCCACTTAAATAGAGGAAGACCATTTAAATAAATGGAATGGCATGGTTGGCTTCCAAGTTTCATCATTAATGCATCAAAGTCACCCAACAAATTGATTGCTTTGATTGCATTTTCATGTCTTTCTCAAGGCCCTTGAAATTTACATAGGAAATGACTACCTCTATTATAGGCAACCTATACATTATGAGAGATATATGTGAACCAACTATAGCAAAAATGGTTTTGGAAGAGAAAGCCATGCCACAAAAACAACATACAAATCAAGCCTTTGCTAATTTGGAAGCCAATAACCATTTGAGCAATAGATTTTATTAGATTCTGCACAATCAGGGCTTCTTCTCTTTCTGTTTTCCCTTGGTTACCAAACAAAGCATTACTGTCACTGGACAGAGTGGTAGAATTGGTGTCCAAAACTCTACAATGGAGACAAGACCACAAAAATCCAGGTTATATAAACAGACCTTTGTACATCCCATAAAGAGCTTCATGAATTGTGCCTAATGATACTAAATAACTTTTTAGATTTCTGTCTGTTCATCCAAGCTGGTTTCTTTTCCTATAGGAAGACTTGAATTCCTAGTTTCCTAGTTTCTAATGCAGACTTTAACCACCAAACTGATTGTCTAGAAATTATCTAAGCTTAATAAAACGGGCATGAGTGTGCATTATAGACAATATGGTTTTACGTAAAACAAAATATATTTTCTTCCTTCTTCTCTACTGGCTAGGTTTATGGTCTAATTCCAGTGGACTGAGTTTTAACTTTAAATATGATGGCAATTAAACAAGCTCTCCCAGCTCTAACCATCATATCCTGAAAATGTAGTATTCAATCAAATATTAGGCTGTTGCTCACTACGTTCCATATTAAGCACCCCTCTCAACTGAACTGACTTAAAAACTGAACACTGTTTTTATGTGTTAAGCCATATCAGTTTCCCTTAAACTAGCATCTTCTTGAATATTTAATCATCTCTGATAAATGTATTTCATTTGTGCTTGAACAACACAAGACAAAGTAAAACAATATTCAGGAGAACAAATCCAATGAATGCGTGAGGTTCATCCATGGCAGTTATATCTAGTAAGGGTAGTTTCCAAGTTTTTAATAAATGATCTTCTGTTTTATAGTTAAATGACATTTAGGGCTAAGCCTTATTTTATAGGCTGGTCTCGAAAGTATTTATAATGCCAAAGGATGATCTCCCAGGACATTGCAGTATAGTTGGTACACAGTGGGTTGGGATGATGTACCTTTTGAAGAAAAAAAAGGACTAGCGTATAAGGATTGCTATTTACAATAATGCCCGTGAAGTAAGAGGGAAATCCAAAGCAGGTGGTTCAAAGGCAGAGAGAAGGGGTTGGCATCTGAAGGCGAAAACTTTCACTCCTCCACTCCGGCTTCTCTTTATTTTAAGGACCTTGGGGAGGGAAAGTAAGAGAGTTTGCTGTTCCTGGCAGAGTCCTCCCACTAGTGCATAAGCAGAAGCTTAGGCAATATGTGAATCGCTGCATACGGAGCTTGGCAATGAACCTGAGGTGGGCTAGAGAGATTATTTATGCAGAAGCATGCAAGGGAGAAGGAAAATATCCCATTTTAATATGCAATACTTCTGTACAAGTGATAAGTGATAGCAGTTTTGAGTTCTTTCAAAAGCCCCCCTCCCCTCAAATGCCTTTAATTCACACGAGCGCAAGATTAATATCTTGCTTTGCCTCTTCACTACCCCACCCCCACTCCTGCCTCGTCCACCCCCACTCCTGCCTCGTTCTTTTTTCTCCGCACAAGGAAAACGTGGGTTGGTACCATTTTATTGTTCTGTTGGGGAAGATTTGGGCCGGAGCTTTTGTCTTTTTAAAGGGCTAATCTAATCAGGGATAGGTGGTTGTTTTTAAAAAGCAAAACCAAAAAGGTTGGCGTGTGCGGGGGGGGGAAGGGCTGGCGTGGGAGGGTAGAGTAAAAGATCCCTTAATACTTCCAACCAGCCCTCTCCCCCCACCCCACCCCATCCCCCAAATACCCCTGGAACTGAGACGGGAGGGAAGGAGGGGAGAGGATGGAATCGAGTTGGACAAGGGGAAGTCTGGAGGGCGACCGGGTGTCTCTTTGAAGATGTGGTGCCCTGGTGAAATCCACCCCACTGCTAGAGGCGCGGCCAAAAAAAAAAAAAAAAAAAAGGGGAAGAGTTGGAGGAGGAATGCTATTGCCGGTTTCCAGGGTGAAATCCTCAGGCTTGAACGTTAAAACCAACAGGAGCAAAATCTCTACCTTAGCAGCAGCAGCAGCAGCAGCAGCAGCAAGCAGCAGAGGAAGACCCTAGAATCGGCCAATCTCAAATCAGTGTTAATCAGGCAGCTATCTCACAGCCATCTATCTGCATTTAAATTGCACACGCGTCCACGGGAGAGAAAGAAAGGTTGTAGCCTCACATGAGCGTGAAGCCAGACCCAGGCAGCGATGGTATGCACACTGGGGGCCGGGGTG